GGTTTTTAATGGCTGTGGCTTTAGGAAGTAGATTGCCAGGCCTTTCCTCTGAGGTGGGTAGGTTTGAACTAACCTTTCAATTAGTGAGCACTCAACCCCTTATGCTACCTGGGGGGAAATAGGAAATATATACACTTAACAAACATTTAATATATATAATATATATGTTGTTGTTGTTGTTTGCCATCGAGTCGGCCCCGACTCATAGCGACCCCCTCCTTGGGTTTCCGAGGCAGTATCACTATGGAAGTAGGATTGCCCAACCTTCCTTCCGAAATAATATACACACACACACACACACACACACACACATATCTCCTACACATATTTTTTTCTTCACTTTTTTTCTATATAGAGCTAAGCCTTTTACTTGGGTGAGGGGGACCGTAGAGGGGGCTACTAACTCTTGAACTAGTTCAGACATTCCCCACATGATTTATGGAGATACATGTGATAAGGAAAAAGTGATCTTGGAATCACTGTTTAGGGCTTTCATTTCACTGTAGCCTCACGCAGCCTGTACACATGCAAACCCAACTTGCACTGCTCACTCCTGGAGTCTCCTATGCCACTTGTACCCTGAAGAGGGTTTTTTTTTTTTTTAACTAAATTGGGCTGCCACACCCACCTCTGCCACTGGCCTTTTAAAATAGAAAGGTTTTCTAAGGAGACTCCCTTCTTTCTAGCCAAGGGGAAAAACACCAGAGAAGCACACATACCCCATGTTAAGAAGGAAGAAACCTATGCCCAGGGGCATTTAAAACAACTTCCAAGCAGACTGAATTCTCAGGGTATTGTTTCACCAAACATACAGTTTGAATCGGTCTCTGTGTTAATAGAGTGGAGGGAACCTTTCCAACAGATCTTTCTGCTGATAGTTTTGATGACTGTCTAGCAGAAAATCTCAAAGACCTTTGCCAGACAGAAGGGAAAGTGGGGAGGAAGAGGGAACTGGTATGGCCAGCAACGTCTTTTGAATAAATAATAGGGCCAAAGGTAGTGACAGCCAATTTTCAATCCTAAATGCTTTTCAAATTACAGCCCTTGAACCATTACGTAAAATCAATAACCTGACAAAGTCTATAGAGCCCTTTCAGGTACCAATGTAAATTCCACTTTAAATAGCCCTTATCAAAATTTCTCTTTATTTTACTGAAAATATTTTTTCTCATGTTTGACAGCACCAGCTGTCTTTGGGTTTTTGGCTCTGCTGAAGTCATTTGAAGAAACAAATCTGGAGCAACACTGCTTGGAAGAGGATAAGAGAGAAAGGTTAGAATGACCAAAAACACTAGAATGACTATCCAAGTCTGAATGGCAAGATAGCTGCAGACAGGTAAAGAGGGTGTATTGAGGTGTTCTTCATCTCCATCGAAACACCATCATTTCAATGTTTCAAGAAACCTTTTCAAATGTATTATCTCCATTTAATTAATACACCTTGGAGTCCTATAAAATGGTATTGTCATCCCATTTTACATATGAGGAAACTAGCTCATTTACAACATAATACTGGTTTTGAATTAATCTGTGTCAATTGGATTCTGTGTCATATGCCATCTTCTCTCTGTTTACCCTGAAGACACAACCTACATCTGATTTTGAGGTTATTGACCTAAAGCTAACTGCAGAAGCGTCCTCAGTCAGATGGGTCAGCAGTTGTGGGGAAGACAGGTCTGTCTGGGCAGACCTTGTAGTTTGTTCTCCATTTCATTTTAGGCCATGGGAGGCCAAACAAAGAGGAAATGAAGTATTTTAGAGCAAATAACTTAGAACTCACTAATAAACACGTCTGTGTGGATGTCATTTCACATTAGAAGGGACCACAGAGTAGTCAAGGTAGCTAATAGAGAGAGCTGAAATGGAAGCAGGTGTATTCCTTAAGAAGGTAAGACACAATGAACATATTAGAAAATATTCAAGCCAAGGGGTGGGCAAGAAACTCATTAGAATTTTATCTTTTATATATGGAGAAGGTCTAAACGTTAAAATAAGCTTTGAAATAGTCTTTTCATTAGATATACTGAATATTTTTTTTCATTAGATCTGGAAATATTGGTGTTGAGAATCCTAACAGTAAGTAAAAACCAAACCAAACCAAAACAAAACGAAACAAAAAAAAACCAAACTCATTGCCATCCAGTGGATTCTGACGCATAGCAAGCCTCATTGGGTTTCTGGGGCTGTAAATCTTTACTGAAGCAAGATTGTATGTAATAAAGGGGAAATAGGAAAGCTATCTAAGTGACTTTCTGAACTGGGTAGCGTTATGGTTCAAATAGGAGCTCTGGTAGCATAGTGCTGGAGGCACTTGACTGCTAACCAGAGGGCTGGTGGTTCAAACCCACCAGCCACTCCTTGGAAGGAAGATTGGGCAATCTACTTCTGTAGAGATAGCGCACCTTGGAAACCCAAGGAGGGGTCGCTATGAGTCGAACAGACTCGGTAGCAGTGAGTTTGGTTTGGCTTTAGGTTATGATTCAAATGAAAGCTTTCAGTAGTGTTTTCTTTTCTTATGTTGTTATTATACTTAGATTTTTATGGTGAATATTTTCCTATTCATCCCAACACAGTATTTCTCAGATTTTCAAAATCAATCCATCTCATTATTTGTGAGATAAGGCAGTGCTTCTATATTCATAAACCCAAAACCCATTACCATTAAGTCCATTCCCACTCATAGCGACATCCACTGGGTTTTCAAGGCTGTAAAGCTTTGCGGAACTAGATTGCCTCATCTTCCTCCCTTGGAGCAGCTGGTGGGTTTGAACCACAAACCTTGTACTTAGCAATCAAAAGCCTTACACACTGTACTACCAACCCAAATCAAAACAAAACCACAAAGGCACTGCCATCGAGTTGATTCAGACTCACGAGGACCCCCATTGGGTGTCCCAGACGGTAAATCTTTAGGGAAGTAGATTGCCCCATCTTCCTTCCACAGAACACCTGGTGGGTTTGAACGTATAACCTTCTGGTTAGCGGTTAAATGCCTTAGGCACTGCACCAGAGCTCGTTTTATACTCATAGCTACATGTATACACAGTTCTGGATGATGTATATGCTTATTGGAAACCCAATGAGTGTTTGCTGTAATATATATTAACATGTCTAAATGTTCACTTTTTAAGTATTTTTTAAATAAAATAAGGCATAAGTTAGTAGAAAAGATGGGCGAGTTGAGTTGTTTAAAGCTGATTAAAAAAGAGGGACGGGAGAGATTGCTTCAAAAAGGAAACAGCTTTCGATAGTAATTCACCTGCAGCCAGGGCTCAGCCTTGAGCATCGGGTGAAAGCCACAGGGCCAGCTCCGTCAAGGTTCTGAGCAGGCCCTGGCAGAGGATGGTGATCACGGACAAGCATACCTCACCGGAGGCTGGACGAATTTCCATCCCTTTAGAGAACTCTTCCCCTCCTGGCCCGCTGCGGTTCGCAGTGGCCTCTTCCTTGTGCTAGGCCCTAGGTTATCCAGTCGCCACCACCGATGCAGTGCCCCCAGCCCCCGTGATACTCCATTTTCTCGCTCAGTCCTGTCGGGTCCCCCTGCCATACTGCTGTCCTGCCCTCCTACATGGGGTTTCTGAGGAGCAGCTAGGCAGACCTCACTAAGAAGCTACTTTTACGGCGGGGCCAGGCAGAGAATTCCGAACACTCCGGAAATCCTGGGAAGCCAGGGTGGGAGGTGGGTGGGGGTAGTGTGGCTGCAGAGGCCCTGGTGGACTGGGTGTTTTTATAAGGCAGGGGAGAAGCCCGGTGCTGCCACTCTTGAAACAATCCCTGGGCCGTCGTCCAGAGCCGCGCCAGCCCACACGTCCAGGTGGGCATTCCCTGCCCTTAATGACTCTCATAAAATTGGTAGTTTGCACTTGCAAAGTTACTCGGCAAGTGGATGGGAAATGTAGAATCATGGGCATGGGGGATTAGGGGAGCAGAGACACACTTGCTGTGGTCTGCAGACCAGCTAAGCTGAAAAATCAGAAATAGGAATATATACACCTTTCTAGCAACACAGTCGACTGACAATTCGTTCTTTACAGCCTCCACTGGAAGGCTGTGCCGGGAGGAACTTTGCGCCTTCTGGAACGTCTAGAGACCGGATTACGAGAGCGAGGCCCTCCTTCTGGGGAGCTGCGGCCCCGCAATGTTTTCCAGAGCGTCTCAAGTTGGAGGAGAAGAGCGAGAAAATGGAAACACACCGTGCTGGGAAGCTCTCGGGAGTCCGGGTGGCCGCCGGGCGCGGAGGTGAGCGCCGGAGAGGACAGAGGGTCGCGTCCTGGAGAAGCAGGGCGGGGTGGGTTAGCTAATGAATGGTGGGTGCAGACGACGGCCCCCGAGACCTGCGGCCGCGGCGGGAAGTCCGGCCAATGAATGGGGGGAGGGGGACCCGCCACTCCAGGTGAGGGGACTTGCAGGGTTTAGGAGTTTGGGGGTGCAGGAGGAGCTCACTCGTGCAGCAGCTACGTGGAGCCAGAGCTAGGGCGAGAAGGCGGAGGGAGACGGGAGCCCGGCGGCCGCGCCGCTGCTCGGCCCTCCCCCGGCGCCCCCTCCCCCGCCGCCCGGCGCTCGCGCCAGAGCCTGAGCAGTCGGGCCCTGCGCCGGCGGCTGGCGATTCCCCTGTGCCCCTGCGGATCGCTGCGCGGCTCCTGGGTGACCTGAGCCCCGGCGCCGCGAAGCCCTCCCAGGCTGTGCGCGGACCCCCGGCGGCGTAGGCGCGGAGGGCACCCGGGTCCCGGCGACAGGCGACACTGGCCGCGCCGCCGGAGGCCAGCCCGGGGGTGGCGGGAGCGCAGGTAAAGGGACGGGCGCGGGGCGGAGGGACGGCGCCCCCTGGGCGCGGAGCCAGCGGCCGTGGCGTCTGCTCGGCCGCCGAACGGCGCGCTCGGGTGGCTCTGGCCGCGCGGCGACCGGCTTTGTGGCGCGCGCGCGTGCGTGTGTGAGTGTGAGTGTGAGTGTGCGTGCGAGCTGTGTCGGCTGTGGGTGGGTGTGCGTGTGTCCGAGCCGGCCTGCAGGAGGCGAGGCTGTCCTAGCCTCCCTTTCCAACCAGTTGACGGAGCCCTGGGAGGCAAGTTGCCGCAGCAGCCCGGGCCGCCGGCCCTACTGTCCCCGGGCCAGGTCAGTGCGCCCCGGGGCCCGCGCTGCGCGCAGTGTCCGCGGCCCGATGCCGCCCAAGTGACACGTCGGAGGCTCCAGGTTACCGGGTCTGGGTGGGAACACGGGAAGGCTTGCTAGGGGTGCTCAAAACCCTCCCCTCCCCAACCGCGTCCCGGTGGGCGTGAACGACCGGGTGGTCCCTGCGCCTGGAGGCGCGGGGCTCTGCCACCCGGAGTTTCACACAGACGGTTCAGTCATCCCTCCCGGGCTGAGGACTTTTGCCTTAACTTTCTGTGCAGATAACAAACATGCTTAGCAAGTAACAACTGGGCTATGTAAGGCAAGGGAGGGACCTGGCTTTGAGTTGGTGGTGAAATCGACGGACTCGTTTGGTTTGTGTAGGACTAGTTTGTTGTGAATGGGTTGAAAGTGTATTCGTGTTTTTCTTTGCTGCCATTTGGCCTTTGATGTGTGAGTGTGGCATCCAAGAGTTGCTGCCTTGCAGACTGGGGCCTGACATTGTCACTCGCTGCTCCTCCTCTCTTCCTTTCTATGGAGATATGTGGGCTTCCAGTGAGTGCTAACTTGTTACTGTTTCACTATGACTGCATTGTTTCCCATTGGGATAGATGCACATTGTAAACATGAACATTGAAAATCTGTAACTGTAGTTACTCGTTCCAAATCCTCTATTCCTTTGGCCCTAACAGTCAAAGTTTTACATCTATTTGCATGAGAATCGTTCGCCCAGTGTAAGCCTAACTGTGAAGAGAAAGGTCTGTGATTCAGAGTCTGCAGTTCTGCTGAAAGGAAGACTCTGCGCCGGGAAAACTCTGCCAAGTTCTTCTAAGAAGGGATTCCCTTGCCAGAGGGAGAGTGGTCCCCCAAGGGAAAAGGGTGTGTATTAAGAGTTATGGTTGTTTGGCTCAAACTGCCATTTAAATTGTATTTTTTAAAAACAAAAAACTTGGACATAATGCCACCTAGTTGTTTCTGCTCTTCAATCTCTGAGTCGGGGGAGGAGCGTGCTTATTTGGCCCCAATGCAAAATTGTGAATACTGATCAGCATTGGAAGTATGTTAAGGCTGCTTTTCTCTTAACACAGGTTAATTTAAAGATGAAGGAGACAAGTGGAGAGCAAGGGAGTAAGCAGCCTGATGGGAAAGGCTGAGACTGAGGAAGGAGGTTGGAGGCCAGAGTTGGCGTAATTGGACTTCGTGAGTGGGGAGACCTTAGCCGGCAGGCCAGCAGATCTCGCTCAGTCTTGGTTTGCTCTTCGGGAAAATGGAAAGGTTTGATCTTTGCGGTTCTTTCTAGCCTCCTAGAAACTGGTGGGTGGTTATCCCATTTAGAGTAAGTGGAGATGCAAAAGGTTTGGTCCGAGAGGGAAGTGGGGGCAGGAAGGCCAACAAGATACAAGACCAGCAATATAGGATGCCTGGAAGGGAAAGGACCATCCACTGGGAGTTGTTTTTTGCCTACTTTTCTTTCATTCTTTCACCAGGAGGGCATCAATAATGCCTTCTTCTTTATATCAGTCTTCTAGCACTTTTATTGTTTAAAGTGGGTGAACCTGCTTAGCCTTAAAATTGACACGGAGTCCAGGTGATCCTGTGGTCTGACTCCTTCTAGGTATCACCCAATCAGCTTCCTTTTTATATCACAGTCTCGGGATCAGCTGCTGCCCAGTGCTGTGAGTACTCAGCATGGGAGTCAGTATCCCAGTTAATGATGGAGTTGGGGTGGGTAGAGGGGAGGACAACAGAGGTTGTCAATGTGAGGGACAGCCCTTCAACAACTTGAGTTTTGCAACTTCTCTTTGTATTTGAAGGTAGTAGTTTGCAAAAGGGAGCTCTGGTAGCATAGTGGCTAAGACACTTGCCTGCTAACCAGACGGCTGGCGGTTCAAACCCACCAGCCACTCCTCAGAAGGAAGGTTGGGCAATCCTACTTCCGTAGTGATACTGCCTCAGAAACCCAAGGAGGGGTCGCTATGAGTCGGGGCCGACTCAACGGCACATAACAACAACAACAACAAGTTTGCAAAAAGGAACTTTTTTTTTTTTCCCCCTCCAATTATACCACAGACTTTCCAAGATTTTACTGAATCTGTTTTGACTATTGGAACTGTTGGAAACTCAAAGGAAGTAACTATCTCACTTGCTGTATCATTTTGATACGTAATGACATTCCATCTGAAATTGATCCTAGAATACTATTTCAAATGCTTAGTAAGGAAGATTGAAATCTGGGCAGAATACACTGTATCATTTGCATGAGGCAGCTCCCAAGTGTTCCACAAATGGCAAGACTTTTGAAATTTAGTTTGAGTTCAAGATTTTAATATCTGTGACTGATGTGTGGCCTTCCTGCTTTTTTAAAATTTGTTTGTTATTAAAATGCCTGCATAATTAAGGAACATGACTTATTTTTAAAGTGAAGTGTGATGTAATAAAAAGTTGAACATAAACTCTTGGTTGAAAGTCTGAAAGTCTGCTCTGGCCTTGTTAATCAGCATCATACTACTGTTTAGTTTCTTACTTTGGCATGTACTTAATGTTACTTAGCTATATCATGGAAAATTTTTATGGATGTCCTAGGGAGTTGGGAGAAAATGAGGAAACTTTAATTCAATAAGCAATTGTTGAATTCCTTGTGTATGGCAGGTACAAAGGTGATGGGAAGGAGGCCTTAGCAGGTCCATGGGAGTCCCTGAGTGGTGCAAATGATTAATATTCTTTGGTGCTAACCAAAAGGTTGGGAGTTCAAGTACACACAGAGGTACCTTGGAAGAAATGTCTGGCAGTGAACTTCAGAAAGATCAGCCATTGAAAACCTATGGAGTACAGTTCTGCTCTGATACACACAGGGTACCCGTGAAGTGGAACCTACTCAATGGTTGTTGTCGTTCTTGTTGTTATTTGCCATCGAGTCGGCCCCGACTCATACTCAATGGTAGCTGGTTAGAAAGAGCCAAGTGCGCGGGAAAAGATGTAACTGTCTTCCGTGTGTGAAAGCTATGTAGCATGCGGTGGTAGCTCCAGAATCCAAGAAACCTGGCATGCCCGAGAATGGAAAATGAAATTCTGACTCCGGGAAAGACCTCATAAAAGGAAGGATGAAAGCCATGTGTCTCTTAAAGATGAACAGCAAGCTGTGAAAACCTAAGAGCCTGAGGAGTAATGTGGCCAGATTCTAGGGTGAAGAAGCTGGAAAGGGGGAAATTATGGGGCACCTTTGGATGGTATTTTAAGGAGTTGTGCAACATGGAGGAGCCCTGGTGGCACAGTGGTTAAAGTGCTGGGCTGCTAAACAAAAGGTCGGTGGTTTGAACCCACTAGCTGCTCCTTGGGAGAAAGATACGGCAGTCTGCTTCTGTAAAGACTGGCAACCTTGTGGGGTGGTCCTGTTGAGTCACTGTGAGTTGCAATCAAGTGGACAGCAGTAGGTTTGGTTTAGGTTTTGGTACTTTGTGGGGGAGGGAGGAGAAGTATGTTTTAACCCTGAGATGCAGGAAGACAGCTGAGTAACATGGAAGGAGGCATTGTGACAGGTAAAAGAGTTGAGGAACGACTACGTTTCTATTCCATTACATTCTTTAGTAATTTATTGCTCATGAATTTTAGTAAACTGTGACCAGATTATCCAGATTATACAAAGGTTGATGAATAAACTATTATGTGGTTTCTTTCCACATCCCCCATCTCCCCCAAAACTGGATGACATTCCTTGTACTTTGGGGAGATTTAATTTAGCCAAGAATTAATGATGTTATTGTGATATTTGGGCCTTGTGAGGCCCTGTGAGCATGTGGGTTGAAAATCACTCTCCAGTTGCAGTGCTGACCAAGGGAGCATTGGTGGTGGTTCTGGGAAGAGCCTGCTAGTTAATGCTAATTTAAACGTAACTTCTCTGGCAACTGGTATTTTTGACCTTGTTTATGTTATATATGGTATTTGACCACAGTGGTTAAACATTTGCAGCCCAGAATAGAAAGAATATTTGGAAATGAGGTTTATGCCACTGTGAAGAGGGGAATAAAAGGGGAAGAAAGTCAACAGAGAATGCCACTCCACGTGCCGCAGTGAGGCTGACACAAGGCTGAAGAGCCCTTATTGAGTTTACTGTCCAGTAGAAGTAGCTGGTCAACCCAGTAGAATAACATTTCTTTCTTCTTTTTCTTGTTTCGTGATTTGGGTGAAAGTTTATAGAGCAAATTGATTTTCCATACAGCAGTTCATACTCATTTTGTTTCATGACATTGATTGCAACTCCCATAATGTAACAGCTCTCTTCCCACTTCCTCCTGTGGTTACCTCTTCCCTGTGTCTTTCTTTCCATACCCATTCCTGCCCGTGAGCTATCTCCCTGTGCGAATACTGCCCTTCTGATCTCCCATGATTGATCAATCTAAGGGGTGTACCTGCCTGGTGTAAATGTTCACCTTATATGCCTGTCTGTTGTTTGGCTGGAAGCCACCAGGAGTGAGTTTGGTTCTAGGCCTTAAGGGTGATGAAGGGCCATTGTCTTGGGGGTTTCATGAGTAACCTTTCTTTAAGAACAGTTTTTCCTGATCATCTGCTTTTTCGTTTTTAAGTTCCTAGAACTCTTTAGCTCTTTATCTCTCATATGGGAAGACTCCGTGGGATCACTGGGGAGAAGCATTTAACAGCTCTGTGGGGTCCTTCTCACATCTTTAATACCTCCATGCCACAGGTGGGATGGGATATCTTTTCAGGTGGAGGAGCTCTGTGGTGCAGTGGTTAAAGCATTGGGCTGCTAACTAAAAGGTCAGCAGTTCAAACCCACCAGCAGCTGTATGGGAAAAAGATGAGGTAGTTTGCTTTCATAAAGATTGACAGCCTTGGAACCCTATGGGGTAGTTCTTCTCTGTCCTGTAGTGTCACTATGAGTTGGAATTGACTTGATGGCAATGGGTTTTGGACCACCAAGGAGACAGGCTGTTAGAAGAGACTAGGTTAGCTTCTTTTTTCTGTCTTTTGAGTACAATTTGAATGAT